CATTATCAGCATTTTACACATGAAAAAACCAAAACCAAGTCCTGAGGGTCACAGCATAATTTACCCAAGGCCACTTGCATGCCAGAGGGGGTTTCCCATCTCTAGTCACTTTTACTGCTGAGCTCAGACTGGGGTGGGCACAGCCTTGCCCAGAGGTGTGCATGCCTTAAAGGTGTTCAAGGAAGGCCACACCCCCTGCTACGCTCCCCCACCCAGTGAGATGGGGCTCCACTCCGCCCTCCCTCCACTTCCAAACCTGCCTCTCTCACATCAACCTCCTTCCCCGCCACATTCCAAAACCCCTTGGAAATCCAGATCTATGTCCCCTGCAGCTTCCAATAGCTGGGTGCAGAGTCTGGCTCTAGCAAGGGGGCCTTTAACAGCCTAGGGGCTCCCTGGGAGAGGGAGCTCCCTCCTGGTAGTTCCTACCAGGGAACTGCAAAAAGCGTGTCTGGCCCTCATCCCAGAAATTCAAACTAGTATGGAGTGGGATCTGGGCTTCAATATTTTTCTTTCTTTTTTTTTTTTCAATATTTTTCTTAAATTACACAAGGGCTTACCCCAGTGCTGCTTGCCTAGAATCTCAGCTACCTAGGAAACTGAGGCAGAAAGATCATAAGTTTGAGGCCACTCTGTCTCAAAACAAAAAAGAAAAAGGCAAGACTTCTGCAAATGCATCTCAGGCAGCAAGAATAGACCCTGAGGCCAACCCTAGGCAGGTGCAGATCTCAGCCCCTAACCCAGCACCAAATCGGGGCCATAAAGACCCTCCAGGCCCGGGAGGGGTGGGGAGCAGCTGAAAGCCACAACTGAGGGAGCAACTGGAAAGGTGGCACCCACAGGTGCTAAGAGATGGGTGTCCCCTCATCTGATCTCGCCATGTCCTGTGTAGGGGTCCAGAAGAGACCCTCATGGTGCTGCAGGGAAACTGAGGCTGGGCAGAGACACAACTTGACCTCAGCTACCCCTTATCCCTGAATAGTCCCACGCCACCTTCATCTCAGCTTGCCCCGGGGGCCTTGCTAGGAGAGGGTGAGCGATTACCCTTTGAGACAAGTGAGGGACCTTGACCCAGGTGGAGGCCTTGGGAGGGCAGGGGCGGGCTGAGGGATGAGGTCCCTGGGGACCTGGGCAAAGGCCCCCTCTGAGAAAACCTTGCAGCCCTGCAAGGCCTCTAGCCTGAGAGGGAGGCTCCACTCCATCACGCACTGGAGCCTCGGATCTCCGCAGGGGACACATGGGGACAGCAGCGGCACAGAGCTCACCATGGAGAAGACAAGCCCTGTCAGGTCAAGAGCACCCTAGGAGAGGTCAGGAATGGGGGATAAAGGGACCCCTTTCACTCCCTGCAGGGGAGGAGCATAAGGTAGCACTGGCCCCCTGCCAGGGGCAAAGCCAGGGTCTTCAACCAGGTTCCTCCCCACCCCCCAAACTCCTGGAACTAGAAGGATGCATGGGGGTGGGGCACTGCCCTCCCCTGCTGGAGAAAACTGGGTTCCCTGGAACGGGACACAGAGGATCCCACCAGCCAGCCTGGCGGAGGGAACAAGTTCACAGCAAGGGTCCCCAACTTGCACAGCCCTTCGTGAGCACCCCTGCAGGCCCCCTGCCTCACCCAGCTTGCTCTGAAGAGCCCAAACACAGCACTAAGGGGAACGGGATGTGTGCAGGGATGAGGAACCGAGAGGGAGCAAGGGAGCGGTCTGGCGTGGCTTCCCTGCAGGCTGAGAATGCCCACTGCTACTCCCTCCCCTTCCTGGCAGCTGGGCCAGGGAGGGTGGGGGGCAGGGAGCTGGAGAGGGGAGTGTGTGAGACCCCCCATCCCAAGTCCTCACTGGGGCCCTCTCCCTCCACAGCACCCCTCCCTGCCCCAGGGGTCTCGGCCCAGTCCCAGGCCCAGCAGGGAGCAGGGAGGTTCTTCTCAGGAGGAGGGAGGATGAGCAGGGACCCACCGGGAGAGAGATGCCGGGCAGGCGGGCAGCGGGCAGGCAGCAGCGGGTGTTGGAGACCGCTGTTGGGCAGCCAGGATGCAACTGGCCGGATGCTCGTCCCTCCGTCCCTCTGTCCATCCAGGGCGGCTCCTCTCCGGGCGGTTCTGAGGCCGGGCGGGCGCTGTTAAAAAGCTTTTTATGTGTGTGTGTGTTAATCACATGATTGCCGTTCACCTGTATTTCGAACAAAGACAGCTCACTGTTTCAAGGCCCCGAACAAGAGTCTGGGCACAGGGAAGAGAAGGGAGGCG